GTGCCGCTGGTCGAGCGCGCAGTGGTGAATGTTGCCAGGCGAAGGCCGCAGAGGGTGGCCAGTGAGTTTTGTTCGCCACATCCTAAGTGGGGTGTCTTTTGTTTCTCTGCACCCCCCCGCGCAGGATCTCCTCCTCCCCCTTCTTCGCACTCACTCTCTCTCTCTCTCTCACTCACTCACTCACTCACTCACTCACTCACTCATGCATCTCATCGTCATCATCATCATCATCATCATCATCATCATCATCATCATCATCATCATCATCATCATCATCGTAATCATCATCACCACCACGTCATCATCATTTACTCTCTCACTCACTCACTCGCTCACTCACTCACTCACCCACTCGCTCGCCACCACAACATGAGCATCACCATCATCATCGCCGCCATCCCGCACTCACGCAAGCAAATTGCGAGGAGGTCTCAGGCCATGTTCAACTAGTACTCAGGCGTGAGACCCTCCCTATGGGTCCCGCACATCATGTTCCACGTAATGAATTGCGAGGAAGTCTCAGGTTGGAGCCCCCTCCTTATGGAGCCCGCGCTTCATGTCGGAAATCGGAGCGGGTCATCCGAACCCTGTTACTGTCGCTTTTTTTGGGCCCCTCACGTTTGAATTTAGAAGCAGCCTCAGGCGGGAGTCTCGTTTGTGAGCGAATTTCGGGAAGATCTCAGGCGGGAGCCCCTTCCTAATTATGGAGCCCGCCATCTATGTTGGTAATCTGAGAGGGTCACCCGAGACTTGTAGCATTCGTCGTTTTTTTTGGCTCCTCACGCCTGAACTTTGAAGAAACCTCAGGCGGGAGCCTCGTTTGTTAGTGATTTGCGAGGAAGTCTCAGGTTGGAGCCCCTTCCTTATGGAGCGCCTTCTTCATGTTGGTAATCCGGGCAGGTCATCCGAACCGTGCAAGTGTCGTCACTCTTGGCTCTTGGGCACCTCACACCTGACTTTTGAAGACGCCTCAGTTGGGATCTTCGTTCGTGAATTGCGAGGGCGTCTCAGGCGGGAACCTCCCTATGGAGCCCGCATTTCATGTTGGTAATCCGAGCGGGTCATCCGAACCGTGTAACCGTCGTCATTTCGGAACCGTCACGCCTGAACCTTGAAGCAGCTTCAGGCCGAAACTTCATCCGTGAGTGAATTGCGGGGAGATCTCAAGCGGGACCCTCCTCCCTATGGGGCCCGCGCGGCATACTGAGAATTCGGGTGGGTCATGCGAAAACTGTACCTGTCCCAATATTGGGCTCCCCAGCCAGGCTTGAATCTTGAGGAAGTCTCAGGTGGGAGCCTCGTGTGTGAGTTGGTCGCGAGGAAGTCTCGAGCGGGGGCAATGGGGCCCGGAACTCCGTGTTAGAGTCCGAGCGAGTCCTCGGGATCTCGTAGCTGTCGTCCCCGTAGGGTTCCTCAGGAACGAAGGGTGATGTGAGCCCACGAGGGCCAATCCGAGCGGGGTCATTTTTTGTGCTCTTAAGAGGGCCACTCGCTCAGCTGAATCCCGTCCCCCCCCGACGCGGCGACGGCGTCACTATCGACTGCTCCAGGGATGAGGACGCTGGTCGCGTGGGCGTGTCGGACGAGAAGTGGTGGCTGCACCTCTGCGTCATTTTGTCCCGCGCCACGCGCATGCGGAACATGCTGATCTTCCGCCAGCGTCCCTGCGGAAGGCGCTCCGGAAGGTTGATGAGCTTGTGGAGAGCTCCAGATCCGAGGCGGAGCAGCTCGCTGCGCGGCTGGGCTTCGCGCTGCCCCCCGCCTGAGCGCGTCCGCGCCCATCTCGGGACCCGCGGGGTTGCCCCAACGGGCTGGCCCGCGGGATTGTCCCGACGGCCCGCCCGCGCGCCCCAGCGGCCCGCGGGGCTGCCCCCAAGGCATTGCCTGGGGGATTGCCCCGAACGCTTCGCAATCGAGCCGTCCGCGAGCGCGCGCGCTGGCCGAGGCGGCGACGGCGCTGAGGAATAGAGAAAAGGAAGAGCAGCAGGCAAGAGGACGGTGTCCGTCATCGCGAAGAGCTACGTAAGGGCCAATGGCAAGCTAAACAGACTCGTGCTGGGCCCCGCCGTCGGAGTAATGGTTATCTTCGTGAACAGATTCGTAAGTCCGATGGGGCGGCGCGTTGCCGCCCAAGTGTTGGACGCTGCTCGGCATTATTCGCGGCGGTCGCTGGTTGAATTTCTGGGCAGCAACGGCCCGGGTGTCTTACTCTCGCGGGAGGCCGCGCCCGGCCGCCCCGTGCATCGGCTGGCCTGGCCGCGCCGCGCCGCGCGTCCGTCGCGCCGCGGCGTGCCGCGCGCCAGTCTGCGCCGCGGCGTGTCGCGCGCCAGTCTGCGCCGCGCTGTGCTGCGCGCGCCACCGGCAATTCCACGCGGGGGCCCACCAGAAATCAACAGGATATCCACCGCAAGGCTTTTGGCGCGCGCCAGGGTTTCCTAGAGACCCCGCCTGCGGCCTCGAGGGGCACGGGGAATCCGCGTGGAGTTGGAGCGTAAAAGGTCGAGGAAATTTTGAGTGGCCTCCGAGGATTGAACATCCCCCCTTCCCGGAGAACGCCGCAGATACCGCGGCCGATCAAATCCATCAGAAATCCGTCAACCATCCTTCAAAAATCATCCACCACAAATCATTGAAAGTCAACGAATATATATACATATATATATATATATTCGACATACAGCGCGCTGATATCTTCCCCCACGTGTATTTGAAAGTCGTCCCGCGCCAGCTCGCGAACCATCAAGGGCAACGGTCGGCTTGCGGCTGGGCTTCCGCGTTCTCCAGTTTCGCCTCTCTGTTTCTGCTGTTGGCCGTGCGATTTGGCATTCGTCCCCCAAGAGGGCACGACCAGGCCTCCCTCGGGGAAGCGGCAGAGTTCGGGACACCACTGACAACATGATACAGGATACAGGAGGAGCGAGGAGGTGGAGGAGCAGGAAAAAGAGGCATGAGGAGGAGGAGGGGGGGGAGGAGGAGGAGGGAGGAGGAGGAGGAGGAGGAGGAGGAGGAGAGAGAGGAGGAGGAGGAGGAGGATGAGGAGGAGAAAAAGGAGGAGGAGGAGGAGGAGGAGGAGGAGGAGGAGGAGAAGAAGAACATGGAGGAGGAATGAGTAGCAGAAGCGTGGGACAGTGGAAGGGCTAGGAGAAGGGGCAGCGGGAGGAGGCTGACCAGGCCGCCGACTCCAGCGGGCGTCGGCGTGGACTTTTTCCTGGGGGCAGGGCTCTGCTTCCGCGTGGCTCCTCCGGCCGGCCCTCGCCCTATCGCCCGCCTGCGCTCCTGCGCCTCCATCTGCGACGGATGCGTCCCGCCGTGTGCTTTAAGTCGCGCCTGTCCCCCTACAGGGGGACTACTCAAAAACAGTCAACAAATAAAATGGGGTCGATTTTTCGCGCATCTTTGAGTACTGTTTGCCCAGATTGCATTTTTCCTCCAAGCTCCGCCTGTAGGGGGACATGCCCGACCAAACGTTTGCTCGACCGCATGTTGGACCCAACTCGCCGCAGACCAAAAAGCGCTCCGCGGACATCCCGTCGTCTTCGACGAGGCGCAGCGGCCCGCTCGTCTGCTTCTCCGTCGAGGGGGGCCGCCTCTGCCGCTGCCGGTCGAGGACACAGCAACCCCCCGATCCCGAGTCGCGCCACCACGCGTGGCTAGTGCGTTTCTCCACGGTCGCGGACCCCTCTGGTGTATTTTTCAGGGCCAGCCCTCCCGCTTGCTCCTCATCCCAGCAGTCACATGGGACGTGGCCCCGAGCCCCGGGTCTTCCTCGGGAGAGTGCGGGAGGGGACGGAGAGGGGGACATGTAGGAAGGGAGAGGCAGGGTGCGTTGCCCACCCGACTGTTGACGAGGCCCTGGCGCGAGTCTGAAAGAGTCGCGTTGCGTTGGATTCGAGTCAAGCGCTCGCGTGTTGATCGCATCGTGGGCTACGTCCTTTTGAGTGGCACGATTCATATCTGTCCGTCCACTGGCTTGTCTACTGCCTCCTGGTATCATTATCGTATCTTGCATTTCCTTGTCCGCGCGCTTATCTCGCTTGCTTTTGCATTGGCTTCAGGACTCGCGAGCATGCACAGGGCCGACCATGTTGTGGAGACGACCTCGTGGTGATATGTATGAGAGCGCAGCTATTGTCTTCCATGCTGTGTACAAATTCCAGCAATGGCGTCCCCATAGCTTCTGCATGATGCGCACTACACTCTTCTTTCCCAGTCAGGACTGAATGTGTTGCCCGATCTGTGTGCGAGGGCCTCCGCATCCTTTCTCGTCATCGACACGCCTGTGTGCTCGGTTCTCGTTTTGACCGCGGTGGTCCCCATCCTTCTCATCCTCCCCCTCGAGGAGGAGGAGGAGGAGGAGGAGGAGGAGCCCGCCCCTGCCTCCTCCTCGTTGTCTCCACTGCTATCACTGCTCGCAGCTTCCCTGCCTGGGGAACCGCGAACTGCGCAGCCGTCGTCGCTCTCGTGGGCCCTCCAGGGAGGCTCCGCGGAGGCCGCGGGGGCAGGCGGGGCCTCCCGGCAACCCTGGGGCTGCAGATTGGCGGGCGTCCAGGGGAGGTCCCGCGGAGGCGGCGGTGAGCAGGCGAGCCCCTCGCTGCTGCTCGGGAGACCCGGGCGGCGCGCAGGCGAAGCTCTCGCGGCTCGCCTGGCTGCCGCCCGCGGGCTCCGAGGAGGTTCGGCCGAGGCCGTGGGGGCAGGCGAGACCCCGCGGCTCCCCGGGAGGCTGCCAAGTGCGCGTCTGTTGGAATCCTCGTGGGGCTCTTGGGAGGTCCAGCGGAGGCGGTGCGCAGGCGAGGCCTCGCTAATCCCTGGGAGGTTGCCAGCTGCGCACCTGTCGCCACGTTCGTGCGCTCCTGGGGGCTGCGAACTGCGCAGCCGTTGTTATTTTCGCGGGCTTCTCGGAGGTCAGCGGAGGCGGTAAGCGGGCGAGACCTCGCGGCTCTCTGGGAGGCTGCCAACTGCGCATCTGCTGCCACTTTCGTGGGTGCCTGGCAGGTCCAGCGGAATACATTGTCACGCAGATCCACGAGAGAGTTCGCGGCTTCTTGGGGACTGCGAGCTGCGCAACCGTTGTTATTTTCGCGGGCTTCTCGGAGGTCAGCGGAGGCGGTAAGGCGAGACCCCGCGGGTCTTTGGGAAACTGCCAGCTGCGCATCTGTTGCCACCTTCGTGGGCTCCTGGGAGGCCCAGCGGAATAGCTTGACACGCATATCCGGTCGAGACTTCGCGGCTCCCCGTGGTGGTTGCGAACTGCGCAGCCGCTGCCATTCTCGTGGGCTCCTCGGAGGTCAGCGGAGGCGGTACGTAAGCAGGCGAGACCTCGCGGCTCTCTGGGAGGTGGCGAGCTGCGCAGCCGTCGCCCCTCCCGTGATCTCCTGGGAGGTCGAGCGGAGCGGGCTGTCCTCGCACCGTGTTCTGCCGTGTGGCGTTCGTATAAGCAGTCGCCTCGCGTGGAGAAGGGGGGGTGGATACGTATCGTTAGTTTTCTCAAAGGGGGAAGCTGAGTTCGTAGGAGGATACGGTCAAACCGATGCTCCCTTATCGTAAGTTTGCCGTTGCCACTCCTGCCCTAGCAAGTAGTGTGGAGGCCTTGCGGCTGGTGCCGCCGACCCTGAAGGGGGAGCCCGATGCGTGTGTGAGGCACTGAATCGAAGGGGAAAGCTTCTCCCAACCAGCAGTGCTCCCCCACGGGGGCGGGGTCACACTCCCCCAGGACCCCCCCCACCCCCTCGGGACCCTCCCACCCCCAGGCCCCCACCTACATCCCCGTCTGGGAAGGGGTCAAAGGGCAGGGGCTTCCTTTCGACTCGATTTCGACGTTGCTCGATTTCTCTTTGGCTGGGACGTTTGACGAGGAGGGCCCACTGGACAGGGACAGGGGGGAGCTGTGACGGCGACAACGACGACGACTACGACGACGACGACGTGGACGACTCAAATGGAAAAGCCTCTCACACACGCTGACAGGGTCGGCGGATTTAAAGCCTCACTTGTGGTGGCTTGGCGGAGATTGTTTGTTCCGTTCCACTCGTGACGGGCGTCAGGCACGCTGCGAATATGTTTCGTTTCCTGTGCGGGCACTCAGCTCAGTTTCTGTTCACGTCTTCTCTTCTTCAGCGGTGCATCCCAACGACGGTGTAGGTATTGTGCAGTTGCAGCTTCGCCTTCAGAATTCAGCCAATATTGCATGCGTATGGCATGAATCCTGCTGATACGAGCAATTCTTGCTTTAGAGAACGCATTGGTATCGTAATACACTCAGACCAGTAGTGGTTAGGCGCGCAAGCGAGCAAGTCAGGAGCAAGCGCTGAATTGACCGATTCATGCCGCTCGACCTCCCATGCTGACTTCATCTAGTAGTGGCCTTCGGCTCAACCCGCCATCGCACTTGGATCGTGGGCAAACGGCCTCTTGGCTGCCTCTTGAGGCCTCTTGGAGGGTCTCCCGACAGCCTCTTTTGGGTCCCTGGGGGCTTTCTGGGGACCTCTGGGACCTCTGCGGGCCCGTTGGCGGCCGGGGTTTACTGGCCTCATATCGGCCTTGGGGGCTCCTGTTGGAAGCTCGAGTTCCCCTTCTTAGAAGCACCTTGCGGCCTCTTGGGCTCCACTCGGGGGGGCCTCGGAGGTTCCCTCGGGCCGTGCTTCGCCATCCAGAGACGGAAAGGGCGAGATGGCGAAGACCGTGCACAACGGCTTGTGGTGCCCGAGTGATTTTGGGGGCCTCCTTGACTGGCCAGCCCGGGCCTCCGAGACGGCCCGAGGGTCGGGCGGGGGTCGCCGGCTGGGGGGCAGCTCCCAGCCAGCGGTCCCTGCCCTCTTGGCGAGGCACGCAGGCGCGCGCGCCCGCCGCGGGCGCGCGAGCCGCGGGCGCGCGGGCGCGCGGGCTCGCGGGCGCGCGTGGGCGCGGGCACGCGTGGGCGCGGGCGCGGGCGAGGGGCTCCCGGGCTGGGGCGGGGGTCCCAGGACCTCCCCGGGGGGTCGGCCACGGCGTCCGCAGCTCGGCGCGTGGCGCAGCGGCGCAGGACCAGGACGGGCCTCCTCGCGCTCTTGCAGCTCCCGAGCCCCCTCCTGCCTCACGGGAGCCGCCAGCCGGCGCGGCGTCAACGCCTCGGGGCACCTCGTGTGGAGTCCGTAGGGATTCGGGGTCACCGCACGGCTTTGGGACCCGGGCCGTCCTCCGAGGAAGGGTGGCTCGGGCCACCCGGGCCTCCAGGGTCCCGAGGCGGTGCGGTGACGGACCGCGCGGTGAGGTCTCTTGGGATTTCGAGGTCACCGCGCGGCCTGTCACCACTTGGGGCCCGCCAGCTTTGCTGCCTCCAGCGAAGCATCGGATCGGAGCTGGAGTCGGTGGAGTCGCGAGCGCGCCAGGCTCGCAGAGGAGCCCCAGTTCGGTGCCTTGGGCTCCGCGCCCGCCTGACGCCGCTGGATCGCGGGCTCGCCGCCCGAGGCCGACATGCCCGCGTGGCGCGCTCTGCGGGGCTGGCGGCGCGCCAGGAGCACTGGAAGCAGCGCCAACGCCTGCGCCCCCCGAAGAGACCCCGCCGCAAGCCCGCCTTGTGCTGCTCCTCTTCCTCCTCCTCCTCCTCCTCCTGCTCCTCCTGCTCCTCCTGCTCCTCCTGCTCCTCCTGCTGCTGCTCCTCCTCCTCCTCCTCCTCCTCCTCCTCGTCCCTCTCCTTTGTTGAGTTGGTCGGACGGCCATCCACACAGATTGCAGCGTCAGCCTCCCTCTCCTCCTTCCCCTCCTCCTCCTCCTCCTCCTCCTCCTCCTCCTCCTCCTCTTCCTCCTCTTCCTCCTCGTCCTCCACGTCCGCCTCACTATTCTCTTCGTCGTCCTCCTCCTCCTCCTCCTCCTCCTCTTCATCGCCGTTCTCCTCCCGTTCCTTCTCCTCGCCCTCCCCCGCGGGCTCCCAGCCGCGCTCCTGAGGCCTCTGGAGAAGTCGGACTGGCGCACACCCGGGAGCGCACAAGAGCGCGAGGACGACGAGGAGGAGCAGGACAGCGACGAGGAAACGAGGAGGATGGAGAGAACGACGTTGACGGCGACGACGACCACGACGACGACGATGACGACGATTACGAACACGACGACCACGAGGATGACAGTGACGACGACGACGACGACGACGACGACGACGACGACGACGACGACGACGACGACTATTACAACGTCGACGACGACGATGACGACAACGACGACGACGACGACGATTACGACGTTTACGAAAGCGACGATTACGATGACGGAAGCGAGGAGGATGACGCCCGAGAATTCTGGGAGCCCGGGGCCCTGGAGCCCTCACAGATGGTAAGGCTTCGAGTCGCGCACGGACAGCACCCCCAGGTAGTCCAGGCTGGCCTTAACAGGCTCCCCGAGTAGTCGCAGCTGGCCTCAGCAGGCCTCCCGAGTAGCCCCTGGCGGTCTCTCCACCATGGCGCCGTCTCCGGCGGCGCCTTCGGGGCGTTCCGCGCCCTTGGGTTGGGGTGTTGAGACCGCCCCGGGCCACTCGGGGGGCCTGATGGTGCCAGCTGGGATTGCCTGGGGGGCTGTTGAGGTCAGTCGGGGCTACCTATAGGGGGCATGTCTGTGCGCAACATGAAGCCTTGCCGTACAGTATCCCGTTGCGGAGAACACGGTGGGACCTCAGGACGCCCCATTCCAGGGCTCGACCTAAATTCGTCTTGGCGATTCTGTGGGCAGTTTACGTCTTGATTTCGTTTTTCAGCAGATACCCGAAGGAGACAAAACGAAAGACAATTGCTCACGTCGAGCCCTGCTCCCCTCTGTGCCTCGCGGCACGTTGGAGCATACTCTAGAGGCATGCGGCGCATGCGGCGCACATCGCAGACGTGCCTGATCGATGGGAGCGTCTTGCGTGCGGTCGGAAATAATTGCGTGCACTATGCGCCCGCGAGGCTGACCATGACTGTTGTCGATGACTGTGAATCAGACCGTGGTCGATGCTACATCTTGCGCGACAATCCCAACGCTGGAGGCGCTTGCGAATTGTCACGGGGTTTATGAGGTCATGACGCTCGCCTGTAATTCCAGAGGCGGGTGACACTACATGTTTGATTTGTTCGATATGGACACCCTAACTGGTAGGATGTGCTTTTGCAATTATCCTCCCACGGAGTGTATCACGGTAGCTTTCTGCCAGAAACACGATGGCTTAGTAGTTGTTGCCCCTGGATGCATAGTTCGCATTGTTCCACGAGATATTGTCAAGCGGGGAAGCAGTGCGATTACGATACATTCTGAGATGCAGGCGGCTGGTTTAAACAGGTTTTCTTCGCATTGAACGACTATGCGGAATGGGAACGTTCCAGATTGTTGATTTCTGCCATGACGGGACGCTTCCCATAGTATTTGCAATCATGCGTGGAAGTGAAACGTGCAATTTGGCTCATCATTTGGTCCGCTTGAGGGCCGCCTGGGGCCTCTTGAGCTGCCTCTCTTGGGACCTCTTGGGAAAAGTCGAGGCTTCCTGGTGCATCTTGGAAGCCATGTGGAACCTTTGCGAGCCGTCGTGAAGCCCTCCTGAGACACGTTGGACGCTTCTTGGAGCCCAAGAAGCGGATACTATCGTATAGACACATGTCGAAGGTTCGTCACTCTTTATTTCGTGAGCGATCTAGTCTGAATACAACCATTGGTTTTGTAGAATTTATCGTCATACTGTGAACGAACCCTTCGACACTATCGAGCAACAGTTTACCCCAGACGACGGGCCCATGACGTCGCCAGGACAGTTCAAGAGAGCCAAACGGTTCCAACACTTCCCGAGAGGGCTCAAGAGGGCCCAAGGCCCCCCCAAAGGGTGCATTAAACCGTGCACCCACACACGATGGATGTGAGGATGCTTGCTTCTAGAGGCATAGCATCGGCATCGGTAGTCGGCGCGTAGTCGAAACGGAAGTCTCAAGATTTGCGATTGATGCAATTCCCGTCCGCAACCGTTGGTGTTCCGACTTCTTTAATAATTTGCCATTGGACAAGACCAGACACGTGGTGAATCCCAAAGAGTTTGAAGTTACCTCGCCGTTTCGACTGATAGGGTCCGCAGTGATCGTTCCCGCTTATTGCTCTAAATGACTATACCAAGCAAGTTGAACGTCCATTGCAATATAGGGGGGGCCATCGTAGGCGTCGCCAGTCGGCACACATAATTTGAACCAGCGGTGTTCCTTTCAATATGTAGTGTGTCGCATCCTGATGTGTATATTAAGACCACATCCGAACGAATACAATGACTTGCACTGAACGTCTGACATTGCATGCGCGCCGGCACAAACACGCGTAAGTCTGTAAGGTTCCCATGCAGGAGACATTCGCTCGCATCGTCTGCTGGTGGTGGCGATAATCTAAATTCGGTGCTGGGCTTGGGATTTGCGGGGTCTGATTGTTGAGGGTGTGTGTGTGTGGTTTCAACGCAGAGTTTTTGGGGGGGCGGAGGCCCCCCAAAAGCTCGTTGACTTCGCATTCTGCGTCATGCGGATCGCTCCTGCTTCCAAGGTGGCAAGCAAACATGGCGTTGGTATGGTTCGTAAGGATCGGGTCTTTGATACATTCTCGAACGAGAAAAATACCCGTACCCTTACTTAGACAGGGTGGCAAGGGGCGGGGGGGGCGACTCGTCGTAGCTGACGGCGGTTGCACAAGTGTAGATGCGGCAGCCGATTGAGCGCTACAGGACGCTGTCTTTTCCAGGCACACATTGGCACCGATTGCACGTGCGTTCGAATAGGCAGAGTGGCCGACTCCGCGTTGGTCACTGTCGATCTAGACCAGCTAATTCGGAGGTGCGCCTCGAGAGGCATATATCCCAGCGCTGCGAGGTCAACGCGCACTCGGTTGCGCATGCGGACAATTTTGGCGCGAACGTCTATGCGCGACATTCGCCCAATCGCGGTTTGCTCTATGCAGAGGCATCGCGATTCCAAACGTTGGACGAGGTCGCCAAAGGCCGCCCCCCTTGGACGGCCCTCCGAAAATCACCCCAGCTAGGTCCGGGTATGTGTGAAAACCCGGGAGCATAGGTCCGGATATGTTGGCTGGTTCTGGCACATGCCCGTACTTGGCCAAAGTGGCGGCACGACCAAGAATTTTCTCGAATTCTTCTCATGCCCCCTGGAGCCGCCCCCGACGCGGCTACTGTGGCCCCCTGGGGGCCGCGACGTTGCAGTGTCGCTCCTCAGGACAAGCCTAGAAACATTGGTTGCCAGGATAGCGAGTATCTTCTTGATGTATGTGTGTATATATGTGTATATATATATATATATATATAATCAGATGGGACAGGCGCCACCATCCCTGTGCAGCTTTGAGCCGCACACGCATTAAGATGCCCCCAAAAGTCTAACAGGAATCAGCGCTTGTTGCTGCAAGAGGGCAGCCAATGGAACGCCCTGTTGCGTCTTGACGCGCGGATGCCGCACTAGCGCGCGGGGGGAGCTGATCGGGCCAAGCGCCCATTCTTGCGGGCGGCCCATCTCACCCTGGCTGGCGAGGGGTGATCGGCGCAATAAGGCAGATTAGAAGTCGGAGAAGCATTGGAGTACCGGGTTAACGAAATCAAAACATTGATTCAAATATTGCGTGCGGATTTTGATTTAGAGACGTAACGCGTGTTCCCATGACGGAGATTCCGCCAAAGATTACATGTTGGAATGTTTGAGAGATTGATGCGGCATTTTCGTCTCACAAGTCGAGCTGGTATTTTAGATATTGTGCTTTGCCATTTCGGTGATATCTTCGGCGCCGCTCCAACACACGAATATGATGTGTTTCAGCTGGGGTTTGGAGGGGAATGGGGTAAGGGGAAATGCGTGTCAGACTGTGCGGAGGGGCACGGCGGCGGGACGAAGGTTTGGTTGGTGTTTTTGTTGTTGTAATGACGGTTCTCGTAGTTGCGCAGCAGCGTGTTGTGGGGGGTTAAGCGGGAAAACAGCGGTTTCAAGGTGTTGCTGAGACAGCCGCACCAATGTTCAGTCATTCGAGATTATCGACCAAATAGCTTCATCAAAATCTAAACAACTTTTGGTGCCTATGCGGCCGCATATGGCACGGGACTTGGACGGCCACTTCCAACGTCGGAACACGATTGCCCAAAGTACAACCAACAATTATATCAACACGTCTTACGTCGTACGGAAGGACGGGAACGCGAGAACAAACAAATCACGGAGGACCTGAGTACAGGACGCGGATTTAGTGATCAAGGCACGTCCGAAAAAATCAAGTCGGTGCAGGCACAGAAAGCCGGATCATTTTCATGCAAAGCATGATTTATTTTTATACGAGAAAAGATTTACAACAAGATGACAATAAAAAAACGCGCATTTGCATTTCTCCGTGCAACGCCATGTTCTGTACAGTCTACACCGTCCAAATGCGTTATCGCTGAATTCTTTTTTGGGAGCATTTTTTAAATAATTCATTGGAGTTGGGGCTTGAAACATATTCGCTGCGCTATCCATATTACAGCATGGGGCATTATGTGCATTTTGTGTTTTATGTATTGAATAACGTTTGGGTATGCACATTCGTGTGGGATATGGAACCTTCTTGTATGTCTATATTTCAATTGAAATCATTTACAAATTCGGCATCGATGGCATTCTTAGTGCAGACCTGTGAATTAATCTTGAAAGCATTGGAAAAAAATACCCCGGCAAAGAAGACCTGACAACGATGTGAAGGAGCATATTTGGAAGCATTTCCTTTGAGATTCAGATGAGAATCCTGTTGTAGAATTCTATTATTCTCGCAATCGTAGTCGCATTTGCGATGGCAATCGCAGTGGCAACGGCAATCGTAATGACAGCCTCAACCTCAACCTGCCTCAGCCTCAGCCTCAGGCAGGCCTCAGCCTCAGCCTGCCTCAGCCTCAGCCTGGTTCAGCCTCAGCCTGCTTCAGCCTCAGCCTTAGTCTGTGTTCAGTCTCGTTGCCTCCGCCTCACTCAGCTTGCATCAGCCTCAGCCTCAGTCTGCCGTCGCCCTCCGCTTCAGCTTGCGGCAGCCTCAGCCTCCCTCAGCATCAGATTGCCTCAGCCCTGCATCAGCCTCAGCCTGCGTCAACCTCAACCTCAATCTGCCTTCAGCCTCGGCCTCAGCCTCGGTCTCAACCTCGGCCTCAGCCTGCCTCAACTTCAGCCTCAGCCTGCCTCAACATTAGCATGCCGCAGCCTCAGCCTGCCTCAGCCTCAACCTGCTTCAGCCTCAGCCTCAGTCTGCCTTCAGCCTCGGCCTCAGCCTCAGCCTGCCTCAGCCTCAGCCTCAGCCTCAGCCTGCTTCAGCCTCAGTCTCAGCCTGCCTCAGCCTCACTGCTTCAGCCTCAGCATCAGCCTGCCTCAGTATTTAAAATGTGGCCTGCAATGGGAACTCCAAGACCCCAGTAGCCTACAATTGGCTCTGGGCATTCAAAATATGGTTCGGGAATATTTTTCAAGGAACTCGAAGATCACGAAGTGGCCTACAGTTGGGTCCGGGCATTCAAAATATGGCCCGGAAATGAAGTTCTGGGAACTAGAAAAAGCATTGGGCATTCAAAATGTGGCCGGGGAGTGGAGTTCTGGGACCTCGAAGACCACGAAGTGTTCTACAACTGGCTCCGGACATTCAGAATATTGCCCGGGAGTGGAGTTCTGAGATCCGAAGACCATGAAATGTATATTTGTTAGCTTAAAAAATGTTTTCTCTCTTTTAATTTTACCAGAAACCTATCAGTCTGCGCTGATGTAATATTGTCCCGGAATGGTTTGTAATTATTGCGCATGGAAAACTATTTCATTAATAATTTCTGATACATATTGATTCCAAGGCCAAGTAGGTAAGCAAATATTTTGGTAGGTAAGCAAAAAATTCTGTTACATACTGATTCTGTGGATGG